TTTTAAAAGTTATATATAATAATACAACTTTTAGAAATAAATTAAAACACTTAAACTAAACAACACAGAATAAGTGTATTACAGTTTTTCTATAAATTTGAATTATGTACTGCAAAACGAATATAAATAAATATTTCTTATTTACTAAGAAACCGTTTGTCAGTCATGATGAAATAGTTACTTATATCGGAGCGAGCGAATTTAAATTTATTCGCTGCGTGAAAATAATCCCGTATTACTTATACGGCAATTCTACATGGAACGCGAAATGTATCTCAACCAGAAATACATTTGCTTATGGTCTTAATTAATGCCTACCTTATAATGTTTGCGTAATCCAGCGAAATTTCCTGTACGTAATCTGCGATATAATCACTGCGTATTTTCTGCTATCCGATTGCTGCGTTTACATATTGGATTTGTGCTGCATGAATATTTCATCGAATGCGTTTAGTTGCAAAATAATGTATACTTCACAATTTTTAAATATACTATCTTAGTATTCATGAATATACTACGAATTTTTGTGGAAAATTAAATATTTATGGTACCAGATTAAAAAACATGTGTTAAATGACAATTTCTTTTATCATTTAAATATTGCAATATGTACTTTATATTTCCTATATTTGTATACATTACATGCAATGTTTACATTTTTGGCATATTGAGTTTTCCTATAAATGCATGAAATGCGAAGTCTTCTCATGAAGTATAAAATAAATGGGTCTCTCTTCTTGCCTTAGTGATGGTAAAAAGACTAAGGCTTGAACGTTACCTTTGTATTATACTTTTTTAACTTCATTATATTTAATGTATTGTATTTTTTAACATGCTATAATTATAATCGCTTTCGTCCTTAGCTTTGTATAATATTGACTATTTGCGCTGTGCTTTTGGCAAAAGAATTATGCTTCTAATTGGTTTTCTAAGCAACTAGCAAACTATTAACGCTTTCAAGTATGTAAAAAAATTTCTTTATTTACATTTGAATCGTAAAATGTTTGTTCCAGGAGCATACGAGTGGAATTAATTGTGAAATGTGTCAAATTGGTTACTATAGACCGAACGGTGTACCTCCTGACGCGACTGAACCGTGTGTGCCATGCGACTGCAATATTCATGGTAGCACAGGATTCTGCACTCCTGATGATTCTTACACTCACATGGGAAAGGTAGGCATGTGTTCACATGCAAGTGACGATTATAATTAACTGACAAAATATGATACGTCCAATCTATGTTGTCACTATTGATATCTACAAGTTGATAAGTCTTCATGATAACTTTTATTCTTATTCTATTATGAATTAATGAAGTAGTTAATTAAAGCAGCAGTAGAGCAGTAAAGTTGATAAAACTTCATCATAATTTTT